TCTGGGCTTGAGCGTTGTCCTTCAACTCTTCAGCTCAAGGCTAGCGCTCTACCACTTGAGCCACTTCTGTTTTTCTGGTGGTTTATTGGAGATAAGCATCTCACAGCCTTTCCTGCCCAGGCTGGCTTTGAATGGTGATCCTCAGATCTCAGCCTCCTGAGTAGCTAGAATTACAGGCGTGAGCCACCGGCGCCCAGCTAGCACCCAGCTTCTTGTTCCTGGGGGCCCTGCGCATGGATGCAGGGAGGAAAGAAATCTCTGGGTTTCTCCCTTCTCTGAAGGGAACTAGAGGCCACAGCAGGCTGCAGCTTGTGGGTGGAGGTCGGGACACTCAGGGCAGGCAGCCCTGGCTTGGCCTGGCTGTGATTCTGGCTCCGGGTGCTGGAGCAGCTTCCTGGGGCTCTGGTGCTGGCTGTGTGGAGTCCTGGCCAACCCTCGCCTGGGTGGGACAACCGGCATGTGCGGCCAGTTGTCTCGGCTGAACTAAGATGCTCAGTCAGGATGTGAGCCACAGCCTCTTCCCAGAGGAGTGAACTCAAGGCTGGCTGGCTCTGTGAGTTCAGCCAGAGCCAGCACCAGACACTGGCTGAGCACAGTCCGCCGTCCTGGGGTTTGAGCAGGGCCTGAGTCACGTGGCTGTGCTGGAGCTCCTAACCTGCTCTCCAGACTTTTGTGTGGCCCTCTGAAAAAGGAGCCTGCAAGTCAGGTGCCAGTGGCTGACACCTGTCATCCTAGCGACTCAGGAGGCTGAGATCTGAGGATTGCAGTTTGAGCCAGCCTGGCAGCCTGGACAGCAAAGTCCATGAGACTCTTATCGCCAGTTAACCACCCCCCAAAAAAGCTGGAAGCGGAGCTGTGATTCAAGTGACAGAGCGCTAGCCTTGAGCAAAAAGGCTTAGGGACAGTGCCCAGGTCCTGGGTTAAAACCCTGGGAGGACTGGCACAAAACAAAACAAAAAAGTCCTCAGCTAGGTGCTAGTGGCTCACACCTGTAGTCCTAGCTACTCGAGAGGCTGAGGTCTGCGGATCGTGATCTGCCTCAGCAGACAAATCTAAGAAACTCTTATTTCCAAGTAACAGCAAAAAGCCAGAAGTGACAATGTGGCTCAAAGGCTGGAACAGTAGCTATGAATGGAAAAGCCCAGGGAGAGCATGAGGCCCTGAGTTCAAGTTTCAGTGTTTCAAAGTGAAAATGAGCGGGGAGGAAGGAGCTCAGTGTCCCCGCGGTGGGCGTGAGGGAAGCAGCGGCTTGTGCTCAGGTGGCCTGGGACCACGCGTTTGATGACAGAAGTCCCTTCTCTCCCGGTGCGTGGAGTGTGGGGCGTCTGTGGCTGCTGCCTGGTGTGGGCCCTTTTCAAAGCCAGTGGGAAGGACAGAGAATCTTCAGACACTAAAAGGACACTGGGAATTACCCAGCAGCAGCTCCTGCTAAGGAAAAACTGAAGGCAGATCTGAGATGGACCGGACAGAATCTGAATGTGTATGTACACACACATCACATGCACAACTCGATCTACACACATCCATTTCCCAAACCCACCCCCCACGCGCGCCAGACACACCCATACCAGACACACACACCATATACCACAGCACAAACTACACATACACTACACCTCCCTCCTATCGGACGCACATCTGTACAGACACGCACCAACACACAGCACACATGAGCCTGACCCCATTACTGCTCGATGGTTCTTTTTGGCACCTGGCCCTTCCGGGCCAGACAGGGGTGGAACAGCTGGGATTTCAGGCCTGGAGCTCTAATCTCTGGAGAAAATAACATGGGCCACATTCCCGTCAATTCATTCGCTGACTGTTCTCACAGGTGTGGGCCGCCAGGGGTGCATGCGGCCTGCAGGCGTGCAGAGGACCTGCACATGATCAGAGCCACCTGGGGCCTGCCGTGGAGGAGCGCATCCGGTGCCCAGCTCCGCGGAGCCGGGGGGAGGCCTCGGAAGTGAAAACTGCTCGCTGGCACAGGGAGGGGTCCCCAGGGAAATCCAGCATGCTGCCCACAAGAGAGAATGGAAAAGTACAGTGCGACTTAACGGTGCAGACACAGCCAAGCTCGGGTTCTGCTCCTGGGGTGCAGGGGCCCCTCACAGCAGCTGGGCTTTGTAGATCAGCAAGTACCTCGTTGCGAGGCACACGTCTGAGCCCATTATCTCTTTAGACCCCTCAACAGGCAAAGAACAGACTCCAATATAGAATGTGAACAATACAAAATAGAACAGACATGAACAACGCGGAATAGTCTAGAACAGTAAAGAACAAAATGAAACGAATGGATGGAAGGAAGAACTATCCTTTCTATCAAGATGTATTGCCTAAAAGTTCCTGCTTTCGCCTGGTGGCTTGGCTCTTATTAAGGAGAAGAGGAACTGCTTTGGCGTAAGGAAGGGTTTTTGAAATGTAAGGTTTTGTCTTCAACTGGTTTCTTGGCAAGGTGAAATTACAACACATCCCAGACTGTTCCAAAAAATAGCAGTGAGGGTATATGTTGAGATGACTCGTGAACACCTTATGTAAATAAATTTTTTTTTTTTGTCGGTTGTGGGGCTTGAACTCTGGGCCTGGGCGCTGTCCTTCAGCTCTTCAGCTCAAGGCGAGCACTCTACCATTTGAGCTATAGCGCCACTTCCGGTTTTCTGGTAGTTTATTGGAGATAGGAGTCTCACGGTCTTTCCTGCCCGGGCTGGCTTTGAACCGCGATCCTCAGATCTCAGCCTCCTGAGTAGCTAGGATTACAGGCGTGAGCCACCAGCGCCCAGCTTATGTAAATACATTATTATTCAAACTAGCCAATCATGAGCAGACTGTGAACCTGAGCCCAGCCAATCAGAGCAGAGGGGCGGGGCCTGCTGTGTTAGGGATAAATAGGGAGCTGCCTGCCTGCTCTGTGTAGTTGCTTGCCAGGTTTTTGGCTGATGGTGCAGCTTCCTGCAGAAGTGAATTTTACCTTGCTGAGATGATTTTTCATCTTCATACCTATCGTTGTGACTCCAGTAATTCTTTTTTTTTTTTCAGTCGGTCGTGGGGCCTGAACTCTGGGCCTGGGTGCTGTCCCTCAGCTCTTCAGCTCAAGGCTAGTGCTCTACCACTTGAGCCACAGCGCCACTTCTGGCTTTTTCTGCTTATGTGGTGCTGAGGAATCGAACCCAGGGCCTCATACATGCAATGCGAGCACTCTATTACTGAGCTACCTTCCCAGCCCCTCCAATAATTCTTTTTGCCAGTCCTGGGGCCTGAACTCAGGACCTGGGCATGTCTCTGAGCTTCTTTTGTTCAAGGCTAACAATCTACCACTTGAGCCACAGCGCCACTTCTGGCTTTTTCTGTGTATGTGGTGCTGAGGAATCGAACCCAGGGCTTCATGCATGCTAGGCAAGCACTCTACCACTAGGCCACATTCCCAGCCCTCCAGTTGATCCTTGAAGATCATATTTATAACAATGAACAAATGTAAGGCATAGAGAGAAAAAGTGGAAAGAAGAAAGAACAATAGGTATCATCCAACCTAGGAATTTGCTTTGCTCCTGTCCCTAGAAACCAGTGTCAGCCAGAACTACCACTTTGCTCTTTTCCCCATCAATGGCAGAAAGCTGAACTTCTGCAGGTCTCTGCGAGAGTGATGGAAGCATTCTCAGTTCATGGACCGCACACACCCCTACCAACATGAACTGTGGCCAAGTTTTGAATCCATGGCCCCCACTGAATGAGGTTTGGCCACATTCTAATAGGTGTTGGGTAGAAGTGACTGAGAAGAAATGGCAGAGTAAGGTTTACATGGACAGGATGGCTTCAATCCCCATCTACCCCTTCTCTGTGGTGTCTGGGGGGTGAGGGGGTTAACAGGCTGACAGGACCGGGACAAACCTGCCCTCTGACAAGGGCAAACCTGTGAGGTGCTGTGTGGGGCACAGACCCGGAGGCTCAGCCCTGGTCTGTCATAGGAAGCCAAGCCAGGAGTCTCTTCCCACAGTCCAGAAACTTTCTCTTGTTTTGATAAACTTGGACACAGTGCCCTTCTCCCCCCTCCCCCAGCTCCCCCCCGGAAGCATCCCATTGCTATCTGACTCCTGTGTCTTTGGGAAGAAATCAAAGCAGGAAGTCACCCTCCCTAAGCATCAACCCCACAGCAGAGCCCAGGAGTAGGAGGTGCCACTGCCCTGGGCAGCCATGGCTGCCGTGGCCGCGAGCTTCACTACAGTGCTCACGTGGCCTCTCGCCATTTCTATTCCTGCACTCAGACAACGCGAGCCACCGACGGTGCAGGGAGTGCTGGGGTCCACACACGCACCCGCACAAGAGCGCTGGTCAGCACACACCAACCACCGCTGCTCCGTGAACTCGCACTGTGAATTCACAGCGCTCCCAGGCTGGCCACATGAACCCCTTCTTCCCTCCCCTGACTGCCCAATCGGGCATGGTGCCATGCAGGTGGGGAGCCCAGGGTGAAGAAGGGAGGCAGTAATGCCAAGATGTACCAGCGGACGGGCGCCCTGGTGCTTCTGGGCCCGCCCTCTCCCCTCCTGACCCTTCTCCCCAAGGACACGGAGCTGGAATCCACTTACACTGGGCGCAGCCACGAATGAGCCCCAAACCAATTAGTACACAAGCCAAACAGAGGAAGTGCAGTCATTGTGTGATGGGAGGGGGAAGGGAAGGAAGGAAGGAAGTCACAAGGGAGGGACCTCCAACCTCTGCAGTGGCCCAAGCGGGGTCCTGGGTGCCCTCTGAGGGTCCGCTTCCTGGTCTCGGAATCCTCCAGCAGCTTTTCTAAGCCAGACAGCCCACCTAGGTGAAAACCCGCTTCCCGGAGACCCCCGAGACTTCAGGAATAACCCACTGGCAATATCTGTCCAATGCCGGCTGTGTTCTCAGTGATTCGTTCTAGGCTGAAAATCTGCACATGGAGTCTGTCAGGGCTTAGGTATTGAGGGTCACAACACAGGCCAAAGCCAGCCCTGCACCAAGGCCTCGTGCTCACTCACCTGGGGCGGAGCGGAGGTCAGACGGAGTAGGGGTGGGGCCGGGTCGGTAGGGGTGGATGTGCAGAGCAGGGGCCGGGCAGGGTCGGTAGGGGTGGATGCGCGGCTGATGGCAGCTAGATCATGCCCCTGGAAGAGAAGAGCGGGTCATGAGGGACACGGGCACCTGCCGTGCCCACCCCTTCCTCTCCACTCGCTTCCCCTGTGCCCATCAGGAGGCAAAGCGTGGGCCATGCCAGCAGACGCCTGGTGAGACACTAGCCATCTGAAGGAATGCTGCCCCCCCAGCCCCTTCCGGCCCCTCCACGGCTGCTTCTCAATTGGCACTGGGGGGGTCCTCCTCACGCCTGGACTCTTCCTTGAGGGCCACATTGCCCAGCCGTGGCCCCACTCACTGTGGGTGCTACCACACCCACCCCGAGTGCCACACTCCCCGCGAGTGCCACCACACACGCCGCGCTCACCACCAGTGTCAGGGTCACCGTGACCCACGCCCTGACTGTGATTCACCACCCCACACCATGAACGCCACAGGCCCCTGTCCGGCTGTCCAGCGCCACTCCCCCCCCCCCCCGGCTTCAGGGGACAGCCTGTATCACAGGTTCCTTTTCTTTTCTTTTTTTGTCGGTCTTGGGGCTTGAACTCTGGGCCTGGGCTGTCCCTCAGCTCTTCAGCTCACTCACTTGAGCCACAGCGCCACTTCTGGTTTTCTGGAGGTTTATTGGAGATAAGAGTCTCACGGCCTTTCCTGCCCAGGCTGGCTTTGAACCGTGATCCTCAGATCTCAGCCTCCTGGGTGGCTAGAATGGTAGGTATGAGCCACCAGCGCCTGGCTTGCATCACATTTTCTATCAGGGCTGTCCCTGTGCCTCTGGCAGCCGTGCCAGCTTCGGGGAAGGTGCTGGGAGCGAGGTGGGCCAGGGGAAGCTCCGGCTCCTCCATGCCTCTGCGCCTGCTTCCCCGGGCACACCCGCCGCCCTCCGCACGGCCAGCGTCTCCGCCCGCACACAGGCAGGGCGAGGCGCCAGGCTGGGGCTGGGCGCTGGGGACACACCTGGCAGCGCTCCCTGCCCCAGCGCCTCAGGGGCTCCCTGGGAGCTCCCTTCTCTTGAATTGCAAATTTGCTCTAGCACTGAGCCACGGGGCCACCGGCCACCAGCTTTTCGGTGGCAGAGAAAGGTGACAGCCACAGCAGGAGACGGCATGAGGGAGCAGAGCCATCGTGCGGGAGTAATCAGGCTGGGTTCTGGCTGGTGGCCGGGACTGTCTTACAAGTCAATTGGCGTGCCTGTCTCTTTCCAGAAGAGCCCAAGGCAGAGGCCTGGGTGATGCATCAAGAATCACTGAACGTGGCTGGCCCCGTCCAAACCCTTCCAGCGGGCTGGGCAGGGGCAGCCCACGAGGGCTGGGCAGGGAGACAGAGGCAAAGAAGACAAAAGTCCCAGGGAGGTGATGGGACCCGTGAACCCGTCCCGTGAACCCCCTGCCTGACACCCCACGCCGGCCCATGGCCACCTCATTTCCAGTTATCTAGGAAGTAGTCCTGACCCCCGGGCACTCCAGCTCCTGGCAGGGTGGTCTGGGGCAACTCAGGGACAGCCAGAGGGAGAAGAGCGGAGAGCGGGTGTGCGCCTGCCCTGGCTGGCTTGCTCTTGAGATTTCCTATTTAAAATGATCCCAAAGGTCAGGCCTGCAATCCAGGTCTGAGGATCACAGTTCAAAATCAGCCCTGACAGAAAAGACTGAGAGTCTTATCTCCAATGAACCACCAAAAAAAGAGGGCAGTAGAGCTATGGCTCAAATGGTAGAGCACCAGCCTTAGGTGGAAAAACCAAGTAAGGGTTCAAGGCCCAGTACTTCCACAAAAAAAATTAAGTACGCTAGCTAGAGTAATTAGGACAGAAAAAATTACTTAAATAGACGACATCTATAGTGAAAAGAATCTTCTCTATTTTCTTAATTCATACTTTATATATAGCAAGTCCTAAGGCATCTAACTAAAGGGCTGTCAGAACTATTGTATTTCTATACACTTGTGACTCAGTCAGGCGCTGGTGGCTCACACCTGTAATCCTAGCCACTCAGGACACTGGGAGCTGAGGAGCAAGGCTTAAAATCAGCCAGGAGGGGCTGGGAAGGTGGCTCAGTGGTAGAGCACTTGCCTTGCATGCTCGAGACCCTGGGTTCGATTCCCCAGCACCACATAAGAAAAAAGCCGGAAGTGGTGCTGTGGCTCAAGTGGTAGAGTGCTAGCCTTGAGCTGAAGAGCTGAGGGACAGCGCCCAGGCCCAGAGTTCAGGCCCCACAACCGGACCCAAAAAAAAAAAAAAAAAAATCAGCCAGGACAGAAAAGTTTGCAGACTCTATCTCTAGTTCAAAAGTGAAAAGCTGGACTGGAGGTGTGGTTCAGTAGTAGAACACCAGCTGTGAGTGAAAAAGCCAAAGGAGAGCATGGGACTCTGAGTTCAAGCCCCTGTACTAACATACATGCATGTGTGCACACACACAAATATACTCGCAAGTCAAAAAAAACGAGAAAATAATTCCAGATTAATAGCAATAAAAGACTAAAATCCTACGGAATAAATCTAATGAATGAAATGCAAAAGTCCTAATCTAAAAACTACAAAACAGCACTGAAAGGAATCAAAGCAGCTCTAAATAACTGGAACAAACTCCATCCTTATAAATCAGAAGACAAATCTACAGCAGATTTTATAATTCCACAAATCATAATTGGATTACAAGTCATTATTAAGTTGCTACGACTTCTCAGCCTGATGCAGATTCAACACAATTCTCAACAGAAGCCCAGATTTTTTATTTTTTTTGTCAGTAGTGGGGCTTGAACTCTGGGCTGGGCACTGTCTCTGAGCTCTTCAGCTCAAGGCTAGGGCTCTACCACTTGAGCCACAGCACCACTTCCGGTCTTCTGGAGATTAATTGGAGATAAGAGTCTCATGGACTTTTCTGCCCAGCCTGGCTTTGAAACAAGATCCTCAGATCTCAGCCTCCTGAGTAGCTAGGATTACAGGTGTGAGCCACCAGTGCCTGGCTCCAGCTTACTTCTTAGATACAAACTGAAATGTTGATTTAAAAAAAAAAAATCACATGGAATTGCAAAGTGGCTTGAATAGCCAGAACAATTCTGGAAAGGAAAAAAACCAAAGCACTTGCAACTCCTCATTTCAAAGTGTACCTTTGGTAATGATAATCAGGATGGTGTGGTATTGGTGCAAGGACCAGCAATGTAGAACAAACAGAACCGGGTATCGGTAAATAAAGCCACATTTGCAGCAAACTGACTTTCAAGGGTCTCGTGGCTTTCCAAGGGGAGAGAGGAGCTTTTCAAGGAATGGTGCTGAGCACTGCACTGTGCATGCCAGAGAGCCAAAGCGCTGTGTGGGCCTCGTCCAACGCTGTGCACAGAGTTAACTCAAAATGATGCTGAGGAGGGGATCTGCTGGGCGCAGGTGGCTCACACCTGTCATCCCAGCTGCTCGGAAGCTGAACTCCGAGGATCAAGGCTCAAAGCCAACCTGGGGAGGGAAAGAGCATGAGATTCGTACCACCAAAAAGCCAGAAGTAGAGCTGTGGCTCAAGTAGTAGAGTGCTAGCCTCGAGTGGAAAAAGCTAGGGAGCAGCAGCTGGGCTCTGAGTTCAAGCCCCAGGCAGCCCCAAACAAAAGAAAACTGCTGAGGAGTCAGCCTGGAGGAAACCCTCAGCTTCCTCCTGGAAAGGGCTGGTGCGGGCCAGGACATCTAAGACCCAGCGAGTTCTGGTCTTGGGGTGAGCACTGGGCCAGGTCCTCACGGTGGCCCCGGAGGCTGTGGAGCCTGTCATCTTGGCCAGCCAGCCCTGGGGGAAAACACCTAGAAAAGTCTTTCCACGCTGGGCGTGGCCTGGCCAGGCCTGGACTTCCCACCCCTGGCTGCCACCAAGACCTGTGGGAAACCGGAAGCGGCCCCGCTGCGTGCTGGCACAGGGCGTGTGTGCGCTGCAGAAATGACGGACGACCTTAATATTCGAAATCCAGCTTAGCGAGGAAGCAAAGTCCCGCAGGGAGAGACACAGCGTGGGCCCGAAGCCAAAGGACGGCTGGGTTTTTCTGGATTGTGGTTGTGCTGAGGTGAATGGAAATGACTCATTCCACCAGGCCCCGGGTATCACGGCCAGTGCCACCTTCCGTATCACGGAGGCCGTTTTCCACGGCTCAGCTCAGGACAGTGAAGACGCTGTGGCCCACAGAGGCCTCAGAAGCCCAAGGGACACAGAGAAGCTAGGTTCACACGAGACCCCTAGGCTACACGCTTACCTACGCAGACGGGGCTAGGCCGGGGCAGGTGGCTCATGCCTGTAATCCTATACTCAGGAGGCTAAAAAGTTCAAAAACCAGCCCAAGCAGGAGAGTCTGTGACTTTTCTTTTTGGTCAATTGTGGGGCTTGAACTCAGGGACTGGGAGCTGTCCCTGAGCTCTTTTGCTCAAGGCTAGTGCTCTACCACGAGCCACAGCGCCACTTCTAGTTTTTGAGTGGCTAATTAGAGATAATCTCACAGGGGACTTTTCCGCCCAAGCTGGTTTTGAACCACGATCCTAAGATCTCAGTCTTCTGAGTAGCTAGGATTACAGGTGTGACCCACCAGCACCCGGCTTGTGAGACTCAAATGCTGAAAGCAGAGCTGAGGCTCATGTGGTGGAATGTCAGCCTCGAACACAACAGCTCAGGGAAAGCTCGGCCCGAAGCTCACCCCAGAACCGGCATAGAAACACACAAAAAAACAACAGCTATATCTGGACTAGAGAACGCTACAGAATTACCAGGCCGCACAGAAACAGGCCCTCAGGACACAGAGAACTGAGGCCTGAAGACCTGACACCTCTAAGCTCCAGCCAGCTTCTTCTGCACGAGGGGGCAGGAGAGAATGGCTCCCTGCCATCAACACAGCCCCGGCAGCCTCCTCCAGCTACAGCTACTCAATGCAGAGGACCCTGGGCCAGGGCTCTAGGAAAGATGGAGACTGCTTGGTACTCTTCACCAATATTGTCAAAGAGCCCACGGTGTTCACTGGGCGGACGGAGTACTCCCTTCAACACGGAGGAAGCCCAATGCACGCTAGTGCTGAATTC